AAATGTTTAAAAATAAATAAAATGTACCAATGATTTAAAAAAAAAAGTGAACTAGAAACCAAGTCAGGGTTCCTTACTGGAGAACTGTGGGGTCCCCCAAGTGGTGAAACCCTGTTTTTTTCACCCAATGTGTCCCTCTCACAGGCTCTGAAACAGGCTGCTTTGCGTTCTTGGCCTGTGCTGCAGCCACCCAGTATAGCCCCGTGGCTAAAAATTCATGCTGTATAGGCTGGCCAGAGAGCTCAGTGCATTAAAGTGCCTGCTTAGGCAGGCACAGGGACTGGGGTTTGATCCCTGGCTGAGCCGGCCCCACCCCCAGGGCATGCTGGCTGAGACAGTGAGTGAGACTGTGTGGTGGCGCACCTACAATCCCAGCACTTGGGAGGCTGAAAATAGGAGGATCACTGTGAGTCCCACCTGTGTAGTGAGACCTTGCAGGCCCTGCACTAAAAACATTAAAAAGATTCTTCTGTGGGTCTGGGGATACAGCTCAGAGGCACACTGCCTGCATGACAAGCAGGAGGTCTTGAGTTTGAGTTCTAGTACCAAAACAAAACAAGCCTACAAAAATTCGTGCTGTAGGCTGAGCCAGTAGCTCAGTTTTAAAGCACTTGCTATCATGGTCCATGTCCAGGGTTCAATCCCCAGCACTGAAAAAAATTCATGCTTTGAAGCAGTAATCTGCAAGCTAGCTTTATATATATATAAGAAATTTTTGAGCACGTATCCAAGATGTTTTTATAAAGTACAAGGCCTATTTGACAAACATGCTTTTATAAACTTCTCTGAAAAGTGTGAGGATTGCGTGATTCAAATAAAACTGTTGCCCTAAAGCTTGAATACTGGAGTTTATGCTGCAAACAAGTCCATGGAAATATCTTACACAGTTTCCTTCAATAGATAACTTGGGGGTGTCAGCAGTATTGAACGTGAGGACGTTACACAGGTTTGAGAAACCTACAGCGTTTTTATAACCATTACGTTGGACTTGGCAGTCCTGACTTCACCCAGAAAGGTGTTCCCATCCACCTAAAGGTGTTTATACTGATAAAAAGCGTAACTTGTGTGCCACTGTTTGAGCGCGCGGTACTTCAGTAGTATTCTGAGTCGGATGCTGTTATTATCCGCCTCTTCTGTTAGAAAAACACAAACTACAAATCTTGCTGGCGGCTGTACAGCGAGGAAATGCATGGCGCACGTCTGTCATCAGCACTCCGTAGGCTGTGGCGAGAGGATCGCGAGTTCGAGGCCACCCTGGGCTGCCCGGCGAGACCTGGAGTCAAAAATCCAACCCCCGCCCCCCAAACCGCGAATCTACTTTATTACACCCGCGATCTGAAGCTGCTGAGGGCGGGGAACCAGCTGTTTGTATAGCGTCAAGAATGTCGGACGGCGGACAGAGCAACGTGGCGGCCTCGTTGTAAAACGTGGACTGGACGGCCGGGGCGCCACCGCTCGCTCGGCCAGCTAACGCGTCACTGGCGGGCCTGGCTCGCCCTCCTGGCGCTTCCGCGCCTCGCCGCCACTTCCGCTTCCGGCCCCGCCCCTCCCACCACAGACGTACTTCGCCTTCCACAATTTTGTCCCCAGCGCCGGGCCGTCTTCCCGCCTTTGGTGCTGCTATGGCGGCAGCCCCGCTGCTCTCCAAGGCCGAATACCTGAAGCGTTACCTGTCCGGGACAGATGCCAGCGTCGACGGGGGACCCGCGTCGGGTCGCAAGCGGCGCAAAAAGCGGCCGAAGCCCGGAGGGGCCGGCGGCAAGGGGTGAGTGCGCCGCGGGGCGGGGTCTGCGGCCTCGCCGCCCTCCAGCCCCGCCCTCGGCCGGCTCCGCTCGCCC